TTATTTGAAGCGGGTCCCACAATTGACAAGTGAATCAGCACTTGTACAACTTGAGCTTCTGGGGGGGGTTTTCCAAACCACGAACCTTGTTTGTTTGACCCGGTGTATGGGTTAACAAAGTTTATGGTTGGTGCTCCTTTCCTGGGGTGACACTTTGCCTGATGATTTGCCGTTGCTGAGGAAGAAGAAGACTTTGTTCGCGCGGAGATGGATCTCTTGCAGCATTTCCACGTTTCTGAGCACTTCTGTGGGTCACAGTGTTGACTCCTGAATAGTTCACCACGTAATCATGTATCAATCAGGGGCGAGAACAATATCCCTACTAAACAGAACAGGGAGACCCCCCTTGAAAAGCACAAGAGGTTCGCTACTCAGGGGTCGACAGAAAGTAGGGGTAATCCGATCTCATTGATAAGTCAGCTTAGAACCGAGATGTGGATTTTGGGGCTGCTCAATTGAAGTTTGTATTGTTCAATCACCGCGGCTTGCACAGAAACACTGTCAATATGATGGTCGGAATCCAAAGAGCCGATTGCTTGAGCTTGCGAGAATGCCCGTACGTAACCTGTTGCGTTCAACATGGCACTGCTTGATATCTTATCCAGTGCATCCATTTGGGCATATGTCCAACTGCACCGGCGAGGCATGTGTGTGTGTGTGTGCGTGCCCGCATTAGAAGGACCTATCCCCTGACTCTCAAATTGGCTCCGTTTACAGGCAACTGCAGGTGCACCCGAATTTGCCATCCACGCACACATTTTATCCTACCTAGGGCTTCAAGAACCTGTAAAAATGCCGTACCCTGACTAAAACATCGTGCGTTTTTCTAGATTTTCCAAAAACATTGTGTTTTCAGAAAACACCTCGTGTTTTCTGTAAAACTCTAAAAAGATGGGCTTCTGAGGCCAAACACTCATTTGGAGCAAAGGGTCAAAGGCAAGGGTCGGGAGTGGAATTCACACAGGCGTCACCCATTAAGCTTTCAAATGAGGGGCGGGGGCTCTATACTGAATATGCTTCAAATTCTAAGCCCCACATTATTGAACCTGACAGCCAGGGTGCGCAGCTGGCTTCAGGCTCAACTACAGCCACAGCAACAGGCACCTGAAGACTGGCGCCAGGTCATACCGAAACCAGTTTGAAGGGGGTGCTGCTCCTTTTGATGCAAAAGCAAGACTTTTTGAGATTGTTTTTATGATTTTCGTTTTTTTGAAAATGGGGCGGGATCCTGGCGGCTAACCCGCAGATTCCCGTAGAAAACCCGTAGAAAACCCGCAGCCCCAACCAAAAACGTCGTGTTTTTGGAAAACATCGTGCTTTCTAACCCGTAGCTAAACCGTGAAAAACCCATAGTAAAGCGTGGCAAGCCGTGGAAATTCTATGGGTTTTTCGGGGTTCAATCCCGGATGCGCTAATTCGAGAATGTTGATGGAACACGTGGGCAAAAACGGTCTTTGCTTGAGCTTGCGCCCTCATCCTGGCATTGCTGCTTGACAAGTGTCGTAAAACTGTGTTGTACTTTTGACTATTTTGATCCCCAGCCTTCTTCTTTCTGATTGGAGTTGCGCATGACGAGTGGCGAATGCGAACCTGATTTCGTTATGAGCGCCAAAGGGGAGAGGGCAATGGGAGATTCTGAGGTTGAGAGAAGCTTTTGTGAACGGATGATGAGTTGAAGGAATGAATGGGAAATGATTGAAATGGAAAATATTGGGTTTTCCGAAAACATTGTGTTTTCCCGAAACATAGTGTTTTTTGTAGGTATGACATTTTCATCGGTTTTTGACGCTCCTGGTAGGGCTTTGCAGTCGCTACCTTTTCGCGCGTCAAACTGATGTGACATGTCCTGGCTTAGGGAAAAGGGACGATAAGCCGTACTATCCACATGCTTCATTTGAAGACTCCGTTGCTTCACAACATGCCGCCCGATGGAACGCCCAGGAGCGCGTTTGCCCACTGTACGGGAAGCCGGTGATGGATGCTGACGAGGACGCAGCTTTTGCCTCGTGACAAGCGATCGCTTGTTGTGTCACCTTCTTCAAACTGTAATGATATAAAGGGATGAAGGGCCTGTCTCCATGATAGCAGGCCTCCCAAGTATTTGCACAGCAAAAGTTTCAGTATGCCTATACCGCATCACTGTACGCACATCTTCGCTGTGCATTGTTGTTCTTTTTTAGAAATGCCTGGCGACATTCGAGCTGGATCCGCCAGCACGGTGCCATGTGCCAGCTAAGCACCGGGGCAGCTTTCAGGCTCTGGGCTGCGCATTATTTGGCAGCGTTATGAAAAGGTGCGCAGTGAAGCTACCATCTGGACGATTGAAACTTGTGGCCAATGACGGTTGCCAGCAACTAGTCGGACGAAAGTTCGGAGCTTGAATACTGCCACAGAAGCATATTTGACCGTGGCTCATATGTGCAGAGGGCTTTCTTTGACAAGCCACTGCACTGCAAAGCATTGTGGTGTCGCAAGTTTGCAATGTGTAAAGGCTGGACAGGACACCCACAATTGTTTCCATGGGTATATTTGTATGTACGTTCGATCATGATCAAACAAACTGTCTCGGGTACTCAAGGGGACCATTGAACCATGAATGCTGTGCGTTTTAGGCCGACCCACGCTTGGGTCATGCAATGTTTCTTCCTGATTCACAACATCCTACAGCGTGTTCGGAGAGCAACTTCCAAGTCAAGTATGGATGTTTTGTCAATGATACAGTCACTGGTGGCACCGAATCGCACCCAGGATGTTGGGAAACTATAGTATTGTAGGATTTTTGATGGAAACGAAGACTCAGATGTTTTTCTCAGGAACCTGACTGGGAGTCCGACTCGGACGGGTCCAGTTGCACTGAGGTTGCCAGTGCGCTTCTGCAGCATGCTGCCAGCATTTCACCGCTGGATCCAAGAGCACCTGCCAGAGGAGACCCACAAGGCGCAGCCGAAGAAAGTATCGCAGGATTGACGAGGGGGCTTGGTGACAACGGGCCAAGCGTTGACTAGGCCCCATGCGGCGATAGGGACCCTTGACAGCAGGAGACATGTTGCTGATTATTGGGTCCAAAGGACCTTTTTCAAAATCGGCACACAACCGGTCCCGAAAAAGGTTCTAGTTTGGCAAAGTTCCTACATGGATGTCCTGAAATAGGAAGTGGACCCCTAAAAATAGCAACGATGTAAAGTTGTTTCTTGCGCACCAGCCAAAAGATGGCATTAGCACACCTCCACAAGGGTTGGGGGGCAGAGATGCACGATGGGCATCCTCAGTTTGCGTGAAGGCGTTGTTTGGAGTTTCCGGCGCCGGGTGTGCCGGTGTGAAAGATGGCCTCGTAAAATAGACTTCTAAACGTGGGGTGGGCCTGAGGAATTCTGTGCCCTCTTCTGGCTTTCAAGTGTCTAAAGGTACTTTCATCTGATTTTGGTTGCTGGGAGAGTCTGGGATGAAAAAGAGGACGGGGGTGGTGGCAGCATTTGGCTTCTTTTGGAATCTTCAGGAGCCAGGCAATGATGGTGAGGGAAAGAGACGACCAAAAGGAGGTGAGGGAAGAGGATTACCCTCCCACCGACGATTCCATGGTTTGAAGACTACTTTCCGCTTGGGAAGGGGCCAACAGTGCACTTCCATGTTGGGAGGGCCACCAATGAACGCCAGGTGCTGTGGGAATCCTTGGCCTTGAAGGTGGCCGACCAGCAAGATGCTTGCAGGACACGCATGCGGCCCCCCCGACCCCGGCAATGGCCACCTCCCCCCCGCTTTTCGAGGACGATTTCAAAAGGTGGGAGCTGTCAGAATGTATGGATACACAAGCCGGGCTTGCGAGTCACTGCCTAAGCGAGACGGAGTATTCCAATCACGACAACGCTTCTAGTGTTATCAGTTCTCACACAAGATGGCCCCCCATGGGTGTTCCCTGCGTGCTAAAAGCAAAAGCACGAGCAGTCTTCCCAGAGGCAAAGATTCCTGAAAGTATCGGTCAGGTTGTTAGATGTGTTTCAGAACAAATGTGGAGCAACTGACATGAGCAATGGTCAAAAGTCAACGTAACTGTATACCAGTCCACCATTGTAAAGAGAAAGACTGCCACATGTTGTTGCTGAATCATGGAGGACATGATGGGGTCAAAGCGCAAAAAATGAAACCAAGGAGAACAGTGTGTTGAGGGTATAGAGTTTGAGGACGTGAGGGGCTTCTCAAAATCCCAGAACTAGAGGCCCGAAACGGCCCCTTCCGTGAGTCCAGGCGCTTGGTTGGGTGGAGCTCTCCTTTGCATGGGGCGCACGCTTTGGGCCCCACGGCTTAAGCTAAGCGTTTTGAAGGATGGAGCCGCAAATTCTGGTGCGCGGCGGCTCGTAGGCACGTTGCATCGAGCTGAAGCGGCGCGACGGTCCATAGATGCCTTGATTCGGCCTGGAAGCTCAAAAAGTTCAAGGCGAAGACAAGCTGGGCCGAGGTTCTTGACAAGACGAGGCCGAGACATTTGGCTTCTCACGGTCTTCGCGTCAAGGCCGAGGCTCGGAGGTCTGGACGTGGACCCAGTGCCCGGTTGTGCCGCTAGGCTTCAAAGGGCAAGCGGGCTGACGCAGGACGCCGCGTAGGCTGTCTCGCATCAGTTTAGCCGCGGAAATGAGCTAACTGGCTCATGTTCGAACCTGACTGGCTGCTTGACCAGCTGACTAGGTAGCTAGCGAGCTAACTTGAATTCGTTCGCTTCAAGAGAAAAACACTGCAAAAAACGCGCAAGCATGTGCGCTTACGAGTGCTTGACACTGTAGAATCGAAGGAATACCTTTTCCTCCAGAGGGCAACGACTCTCAGAGACGCATCCAGCTGTTTTTCGAGACTCGCGCAGGAAGCTAATGCTGATGGTGGCACTGATGTTGACCTCAAGTGTCTTTGCTGCAGACAACGTCAGCTACATGAGATGCAGATGCAGACTGGAACGCCAGATGTTGGCCATTTCCACGCCATATGTTTGCACATAGTTAGTTTCAGTATTTCGTGATCGATTTGGACATCGAGACTGCACAATGAACTGCGTCGAGGTGAGTTGCTTGTCATGCTGTGCGTGCACTGTTACCATACACATCCGGATCACCTGCACTTTAAACATGCTGCTAAACCATATTGGTGTTGTTGCATCAAGTCGGGTCGCGAAATTCTCAGCAGATGTGGGGTGGTCGTGTAAAGTTCAATGGTCAAGGGCATGATGATGGGATACATGAGTGCCAACAATGTATGCTGGTTCCAACTGGAATGAGGGCGAGCTCACTTGGTGGAGAGGCCTTCCTTTCTTTAGAGCACCTTGCACCAGCTTCTTGAACTAATGTAAGCAAGGCAGATTTTAAAGCATTGTTTCAGATATACCCGGACCTTCTTGATACATCATTGCCTTGGTGTCACGCTTCTTGGACACGCGCCAAGGCTACCTTTGCAGGGGCTACAAGTTCTGGCAGCAAGAGGAACCTCTTCCCGGAGCTCCTTGGCCTGACCGCGTGTGTTTACTGGGGAGGGTTGTTGCCCAAAGCTGGGGGTCCTAAGATGTGGTGGCTTCCTCTTGATTTCTCAAGACCGGAACCGTTTGGGGGTCCAAATTCGGACACCCCGGTATGTTTCAACAAGTTTTGGTAGGGTCGGGTTCTGACTCTGACGACTTGTTTCCACTAGCTGCGCCCACTTGGGAACAACCAAAACCGCAGCATTGCATGTCGCGTGTATTTTCGAGCCGGGGTGTATGAATGTGTTTAGGAATTGCATGTCAGTCATGTACGATTTGGGAGCGAAACGGCTTCGACTCTAGCTGACTTGGCACACCAATCATGTCATGGCAGGCTTTGCTTGGGGTTGCATGAAGTCCCGGCTGAGGTCTTGATGTCTTGATGCAGACATGACATTGCTGGCCTTCAAGAACTTTTTCAGATCTTTATAGCGTCGCGTTTGCACGGTCTTGCCATTGAACAGCCAAGGGTTGCTACTTTGGTTAGATTGCCGTTCATCCAAGTAGTTTATAAACACACCCAGAGGTGCCGCCGAGTGGTTCCTTCCCGTTTAGATTCAAATCTACAAGATGTACACTCCGGGCTACGCGACAAGAGACTGGCCGATGGTGAGCCTTTCTAATAAATGAATGCTGCTTTCCGCAAAGGATGATACGAGTGCAATGTCCAGAAGTTTCGAGTTTACTGCACTGGAGCGCCTCAAAGTTCTTCTGTCACGCATGTTTTCCCATATGAATGGAAGGGTCATTCATGACAGGTTGGGGCACGCATATAGATAAACCAGCGAACAAAACAAGTCACTCTTTTCTTCGCCGCACTCCCAAATTGTACTTTGCTACTTTGCTTCAAAATTATTTTGAAAGTTTGGGAAGAGTTAATACAACGGACCCTTTTGCTTCCCCCCCCCTCCCACCCCGCGTGTGAAGGCCTCTCGCCTGGTGGGTTCTGCGGCGTTTACCGCTCTCCGGCTTTTGGCCTCATGGCCTGGGGCACTCAGCACGGAGAAGCGGACGGGCGCTGGGTGGGTACAGAAAAAGGTCTGGGCGTGGCTTTTTGTAGGGGACACTGAAATGGTGGTCGTCCTTTTGGTTTCCCTTTATTACCATCACAGGGGTAGAATGACACACCTTTTTTTAAGGAAATTCAGCTCTGGCTAACAAAAGTGGTTCCCTAGCAACAGCACTGATGGGGGTTATTGAAAACCGGAAAAACACAGTCCCTGATAGAGGGATGGTCAAACCAGTCCTGCGAAAACTCACAGCTGGTCAAGTCCGGCTCAGCTGGATTGGACACATGTACCACGAATGACCTTGGTTGGGTTTATAAACAAGCTGTTTGAGTTGGGGCAGGTAGACACCAAAAACGGTGTGTTGGATTCAACGTGATTCAGGATTCGGATGACAATCTTACGTATGTGGGAGTTTCAGCAGCAAAGAAGTCTCACTGCTGATATGAGCTTGACAGCATTCGGTGACTCAAAATCGGAGACTCAACCTAGGGATTTGCCACATGGAGCATGTTGACCAGGTAAGCGCTTCGTGTTTCGCCAGTTCACCCCACACAACTTGGCAGAACTCGCTTTGTTTTTTTTGCGGTCGGACCCGAAGAAGTGACATGAAAGCCATTTTGGTATACAAGAGCACGGCACATAGATGGCATTTGTAGCATGTTGGTCAGAGCGCGTGCGAGCAGATGGGAAAGCATGCCAAGTTGCTCGACCTTCCAAAATAGTTTTGAGTCCAAAAACAGGAAGATACCTTTTCGATTGTGACCATAGGCAGATCAGGCTTATGACTGCGCCCGTCTGTGTAGTTCGGGCTTCTTTGTTAACTAAACTTTGAGCTCTTCCCTGTGGACTAGCCAGCGAGTCAGATCAAGCAGCAAAATGAAAGCGAGGCAAGCGCAGAGAACCTCTGAGATGGCAAATTGAAGGCTGCAGAGTGATTTGGGGGGGGGGGGCTGCAAAATGTGGACCCTTTGAGAGGGTCCCATTTAACAACGGCACAACATGACACCGAAGCAGGTTCCACACATGGAAGGTATAGGTATGCCGTGAGAGCAGCATAATTTGGATGCTCCCAGGGGCTTGACTGAGATGCGCAGGACACGCACGTTGTGTTTGTGCCTCACTTTGGGGGCAGTACAAACCTAAGAAGTTGTTGCTTGGCAGATGTTCCTTCCCAGCGAGGGCCACCAATCTGTCATGTGCGATGTTGGGCCCGCAAGGTCAGAGCCAGCGATGATCTTCGTCTCGTCGGGGGCCTTAAGTTTCCCAGTCAGATGGCGACTTTGTAGTTACGCTCGAGTGAGCTCCAGAATGCTTGATCATTGACCCTCTTTTTCCAGCGGCAACGGTCAACGTCAAACCAAAGTTACCAGTGAGGTAGAGCCTCAGCTGGAACCTTGTCTCATTGCGCTCGCTTTGCGGTGGTGCCATCTGTCGTATGCGACTTGTTTCTCAAAGATGGACATGGAAGATGTGTCTGCGAGTCTATCCCAATTTCGGCACACTGTGGCCACAGCGTGATATTTGTCAATTCCCACACCGTGGTGCTGCGGTCAAGTGCCTAGTTACTCAGTGCTATTTTGGAAAGACACCCAAAGATTGGTGTCCATGACGTGTGGATGCTGTACTCTGGGAGTGCTACATGATGGGTTGTCTAAAATAGGCTCCTTGTTGCGGCACTGGGGACGTTCAGTGCCGGAAAGCTGGAGGTACTTCCTTCTGCTGTCTACGGCACGCAGCCGACACGATTGCGCAGATTCAGATGGATGGGATGCAACATTGTGCAGCGATGGTTTTCCCCACTTCCTGGCACGACCGGACGTCATACTTGTATGTGTGGAATACAATATTATGTCTTTGCTATGCACTGGTTGGTTGGCACCACCTTTTGTCATGCACACATGCCCAACGTTGTTTAAACAGGTGAGCATTGAGCAAGCCATGTTCCATTGATATCTAGCATCATCGACAGAGAGGCGGCGAGAAGCATCTCAGGAGCGTCTGTAATTTCCTGAAACGTCGAGTGCTGCCCCGGGATGTATATTCGTGTTGCCCCGAAGCGTGTCACCATTTGACCTTGGTTCTTGCAGTGTGGGTCTACTTTTGGTCATGAGCTCTATAGAAGAGCCGTAAAGCTTTCATTGCAAGGTTCCTTGGGCAGAGAACAATAGTAGGAATATACAATGTGCCAATACAATCAAACACTCAGGCGCTCAATTCAGAAGACATTCGATTGAACGAATACGCGCAACGGGCCCAACGCCTGACCTTTGTGCACAGTGATTGATGGGCGGATAATCCGAAAGGCGTCCTGACCGACAGTACTGGGAGACAGCTATTTCAAGTGCAGAGTGTAGGGCCGTGCCTGTGCTATCAATGTCAACCGGTGTCTTCACACATGGCGTCTTGGGTGGCAGCTTTGGACATAGTTACCCTCCCACCAGCTATCATGGAAGTGCACAGACCCCTGTAGAAAGACTACTTTCGTCTTGGAAAGGGCCTTGTTGCACTTCCATGTTAGTTGGTGGGAGGGTAAATAATTGCATGCCCGTTGATGTTCTGCCTTAAAGCAAGCCAATCCACTGCAAAGTGCTGTTTGAACCTGTGCAAACCGTGCCGGCGCCTGCCAGGATCTTCTGACAAGGCTACAGCTGGCTGCGCTAACGGTTGGGGGCCCAGGCTGTATGTGTCTGTGTTGGCAAGCGGTCACGGTTCAACAGCTTGCCAGGGAAAGGGGACACACGGAACATAGCCAGCCTGTCTTGTACAATTCAAATTCAATATGTTGGCGCTTCGCAGGCCTTTCGCACTTGCAAGCTTCCAACCCTGTCAGGTCAACCTCAAGGATTATTCACATCAGTTTCTTCCCATGTTATGTCGGCTCATGCAAGGCGCTCCTCGCAAGCTGCCGGGGCTGGAGTTATGCAGGCGGCCTCGTGTCCGCCCGGCGCTCGGAAAGGATCCTGAGTCCAAAACTGCAGGAAAGCTGAACAGTCATCATGGACTTTTTGGATATCCTGCTGACTCTCCAGTTTTTGAACATCCCTGATCACTCGGAAAACTCCACGAATATCTTGCAAAGCCTGCGCCAGATATCATGGAGAGCCAGCTGCATCATTTGTGGTGGCCCCAACCAAGGTATCCGCCATGGCTTCACTGCTCATCCAGTGCAGCCAAAGTCGGGTGAGGGAAGCCGCAAAGATCATGGCCTAACGTCTCAACGGCAACCCATGCCGGCTGGATGAACCAAACTGAAATATTGGCATTTGTTTGGCAGACAAAAATCCGTCACTCAGTTTTATTGTGCGCAGCTTGATGAGCTCATGGCCCTAACCCTTCAGTGGCTACCGGCTCGTTTTCCTACCGCGTCACCATGGTCACTGCCATAGGCGATTCCTTGCCAGGCGAATGTTGCGCCTGATCAGTGAGGATAGCTGACAGGTACTTGCTCCGCTTTGAGTTCATCGGTGTCTTGGTGTCCAACAAGGAAGGGTGACGAGAACCGGCGCAGAGCCATGGGGCGTCCACGAGCAAAGGCTTTCCAATGCCTTGATGCCCTGTTCAGGTCTCAGCCAGTTGCAATGCTTCTTGACGTGCAACGGAATGCAAGTGACAAGGTTGCTAGCCTTTGCCACATGATGGAAGCTTGGAGAGTGAGCATTTGTTCGGCGACATGCAGATGAACACATACACTGCCCTTGCCAGCTGCGCGTTTAGGAGACAATGGGTGTTCTATGTTTAAGAACAACCAACCTACTAGCTTGACACGAACAGACACACTCACGCACGCACGCACGCACTCACACACACACAAACATACAAACACACACACACAACAAAAAAAAGAAACAATCAAAAACCAAAAAAAAAACACCCACCCACCCACCCACCCACCCACCCACCCACCCACCCACCCACCCACCCACGCAGGCACGCACCCACGCACCCACGCACCCACGCACCCACGCACCCACGCACCCACGCACCCACGCACCCACCCACCCACCCACGCACCCACGCACGCACGCACCCACGCACGCACGCGCGCACGCGCGCACACGTAACCACATTGCCTGTGAAGCCCGCTGTGCCCCTAATGCTTTGTGCTCCGCTGACTTGTTCAGATTTGGACCAGTAGGTCCATGCCAAAGAAAGCGGACAGGGTCAACGTGAGCTCAAGCACGTGGGGGTGTACAAAAGGGGGTGACACTACTTTAGGATTGGGCCGATCCTTTTGTGAGAAAACGCACACACACACAGACACACACACACACACACACACACACACACACACACACACACACACACACACACACACACACACACACACACACACACACACGAAACCACATTGCCTGCGAAACCCGTTGTGCTCGGAATGCTTTGTGCTTCGCTGACTTGTTCAGATTTGGACCAGTAGGTCCGTGCCGAACAAAGCGGCCGGGGTCAACGTGAGCTCAAGCATGTGGGGGTGTACAAAAGGGGGTGACACTACTTTAGGATTGGGCCGATCCTTTTTTGAGAAAACACACACACACATGCACCTGCAAAACGATAAGAAGCAAAAGAAAGCAGCCTTGGTAAGACATGAGTGCCGCACACTTGATCTTGTACTTCAGAATTGCGACCTTCGAGCCAGAGCTGCCAAAGTATACTTCGCGCACTACACTTGTGCTTAAAAGTTGCGACTTGCAAGCCGGCGCTGCCAAAATGTACTGTGTACTTTGCGTACTGCACTTGTACTGAACAGTTGCCAATTTCGAGCCGGAGCTTCCCAACTGCGGAAAGGAGGCTGTGCCTGACATGTTCTAAGCCTACTTGGCGAGAGCAAGGGGCTCAAAGACACAAGGGCGATCACGTGTGTTATAGCAACCCCTGAAAGTCCCGGAAAGCCAAAACACTGCAAGATGATAATTAGTAAAATCATGTAAAAGCGAAAAAGCCCGAAACGGATCGAACAGTTTATCACCCCCTTGTTTTACAACTTTGTGTTGTTTGAAAGATCCTGTTTCTCAGATTGATTATGTGACGTGCAGAGACTATTTGTGCTCAGATTTGACAACAATCTCACCGAAGGGCGCTGAGTTTCGTATTTCCGGTTTGTGAGTCAGGGCTGTTGTTTTGAGACCATCTGCTTGGATCAACTCAGAGGTTTCTATTGCAGGTACGCCAACCTTTCCAAAGACGGGGCAGGACAGCCCTGTTGTACACTGTGGTTGGAAACCATGGGTTTCCATTGCTTGGTATTTACAGGAGCATCGAATCTTTCTTTGATGCGAAATGGATTTCGTCCATGACTGGGGCAGTCCACGGGCTAAGCTCCAAACGCGCCAGGACACTGCAGCCTGGCTGGGGCTCTTGTGGAAGAAGAGCCTCATTGGCAGCGAGGCCCGGTGCCGGTGACTGAAGCATTCCCACCTCTGGAGTCCCAAAATATCCCGAAAATGGGACTTCAACCCCTGGACAAGCATGATCCCCACTGAGATGGACTTGTTCACTAGCGGTAGTCCCCATGGGTTCATGACATCAATGGCACAGCAAGGATATTGACCACACTTTGGGGACAAACGACTTCATTTTGGGATATGTTTGGCAAATAAATTGTGCGGGTCTTTTGAGTGCTATTTCACCCTGACATCTACACCATGCGACATCCTTATCTTATGACCAGACTGTCCAAAGATGTGCGGTCCACAGCTAGGGCCTCGTGTCTTTCTTGTTGGTGTAGCACGCAGCACGAATACCATGTGCACCGAAATCCAAGTGCAGTTCTCAAAAGCCAGCCACAGCTAGCAGGAAAGATGCATTTTATGATTCTGCATGATACAGTGAGCTCAGTTAACCTCTGATGAAGCACGTGTACGTGGGGATCCAGAGGTTGAGCAGCAGACGAAACAATGGGAGTTACGCAAAGAACCGGGAGCACGATGGATTTTACAAGGTTCGCAAACAGCCCTTCTGCCTTTGTGTGCGAGTTGTTGTGCTTTGTTGAGCCATAAATTTAGCAAGTCGCATCTCTGGCTGCTTGCCTTTGCAGAACTTCCTTATGGTGACGAGCTGCCTAAGTTCGTAAAGCCTACCGTGTGGCGCAGGTCTCCCTTGCGGCTCTGGGCATTGCCCAACATGCAGCCTGGCGAAAAGGGCTGTTTGATAGTTTGACGTGTGTGGCAAAACGAGGAACTTGTTCTTGGCACATTGAAAGGAAGCTGCGGGGCACGCACCCACCTGAGTCACCAACCGCGCCCCCCCCAAAATGCTATGAACCATGTCGTCACCTCCCATGACTTGATGTCTGTGTGTTGCCGCCACACTCCTGGCAAATTGCCTCAGACATGAGCACCAGAACTTATGGCGGGCGTCTCCTTCGGGGCTGCATGTGCACCGCTTCACAGCTTGACCAAGGCTTCTTCATGTGTTGTTTTGTTGTCAAACAAGATTCGGACTTCCAAACCTCACTGGAGTCCTTTTGGTTTTCCTGGAACCAGTGAGAGGGAATCCTTTTCCAAGTTTATCACGCTACAAGGATGTTCAATGATCACTGGAGGCCATCCACCGTGTCGCCGCTCACGTACCGGAGACCACGCGGAAGAGTCAACAGGCCTGACCAAAACCGACGGGACTTCGCTTGTCGCGAGGTGCTCGTAGCTGGACTGAATGAAGCATTTCACAGAAAGCTGAAATGGAGGCTCAAGGGGTTCCCCAAAAGCTTCTTGTTCGTCAACGTTGCGTTTGGGGTTCCATGAAGCACTCAGGGTGCATCCCAGTGAGGCCGAGGGGAGGCTGAAGCAAACTGGCCCCATGCGCACTTTCCATTTGATCCACCAGCGAGCGTTCATCTTGCAGCGGCAACATGGTCAGCATGAATCAGCGCAAGGCGAGGCAGGGTCCTGAATTCAGAATGGAGCATTGGAAGTGTTGAGTCCATACGTACTGTTCATATTCAGAGCTTGCGACAAGTCAGAGATGTGGGTATATTTTGAAAGACGGGACCACTGTTTGCATGTTTTCGCCTACTATTAAGGGAAACCAAAATGAAGCCAACCACTTGGAGGTGTCCCGCATTTTGCGAATCGCTCCTGATAGCTTCAGAATACAGCATACTGTGTGATTACAACAGTTCCTTGCACACCCCATTGTGATTTGACTCAAGTTTCCGACGCTGTGGTCGTCAAGGTAACACCTGCACAAAGCAAGGTGCGCTGAGCTGGTAAAAGAGAGCCCACTCAAACGGGGCAATGATTTGGGACATCTCAATTTGTCAAGGGCGAGGTGCTTGAATTGAGCACATATCCTGAAAGTGCTGCATCTTCTAGCGCAAACATTGTCACGCAGTGGTATGGTTGCGATGTCTCATTGCGAAAGACAGGACAGGCTTCCTCAGTTACATTTTTCGTGACAGAAGATGCCGCTGCTCGTCCTTGCCTATGCTGTTCGCATGTTTCGATTCCGCCACTTCACTGGCAGTCTACCACGTGAGATTCTCCAAGTGAGCTGCAGCTAAAAATGATTGTCAGTTGAGATCGGCGTGGAGGAGTGAGGCCCACTTGCTTTCGGAATTCCAAAGGTCAGAAGCCTTTACAGACGTTGGATCGGAGACACGGAGCTTTTGCACCTGTTATAGGCTTGCTAATATATGTATATATATATATATATGTATTTGTCTACATACATATACACACCACATAGATATAGCCAGCATGCTGTGATACATGCCTTCAACAGCACAAGTATCTACGTAGCAACCGCCACTTTGTTGCTAGTCCATTGTTACTTTGGGGATTGGGAACCGGGGGGGCTTAGGGCTCCAAATGTTCCCATGTCGGAACGAGCATGTGGCATGTTCAGGGTGTCAAATATGTCTGGCAAGGGGCGTTTTTCCCAAACTTGTAGGTCCTTCGTTTGGTTTATGGAAACTGACACGAAACCATCCATTGTGTTTGAGTCGCGGCTTGGTCAGGAACTGGTGGCTCACAGTGCGATGTTGGGCGCCACGCGGGTGCCCAAGCTTGGGATGCGAGATGCATTCTCACGTGACGTAGACACAAGGGTGAACCAATATATACTTCATGGGGGCTAAAAGGAGGGGAGGGGGAGGGAGCCCTAAATAAAGCCTTAATAGGGGCTTATTTGGTCCCTCCCCCCAGCCCCCACGAATACTCGTGTTCAACTGTTCATTTTCAGCATGAAGATGAGTTATGTTCATCCTGAGAGTGAAAGAAGAAGGACGCCCAAATGAAACCAAACGGAGATTCCTCGGTGATGCAGCTGGGTCTCCAGCTTGACTTGCTGAGTACAAAGCCACAGATTGGTTCTGAAGACCTTGAAGGCTGGAACTTCATCAATGCCACTTGCTTGCGGAGGTGTCGGGGCATTGAACGTGTCCTGTTTCCTTAAGTCCTTGAGCGCTGGAAGCATGTTTGCTCTGACGTTGCACGTCCTGAATGCTTGTGAACAGGCTGTATTTCCGGCATTGCGGGAGTGTCAAAAATAGAAACACTGCAGAAACACGTGCCCTCGCGGGCTTTGCCTGAACATGTTTCTGTTGCCTTTGTCACACTCATGCTTTGCCTCTCTCAATAGAGTATGGGCATGGCTGTTCTTGCTTTTCAAGGACTGACCTCAGAGCTGTTCTGTGAGCCGCTATGAACCCATGTCCATCCTGTTCCCAGAACTCAAAATAGGTCGACATCAAAATAGGTGGCAAATGGATGTTCATCCACCCCAATATGGAGCCATAGGTCATGCCCCATGGCCAAATAGAAAACTTGGCAACCAATCAGCAGAAAGATATCACTTCGGCGGCATTTCCTGTCCTTGAACGCTGCTTGTACGACTTTGTCAGCCACGCTGCCATGCAGCCTTTGATTGGGGTGGGCTCTTGGGTTTGAATGTATGTGGCATACGGTAGTGATGCCACATCTTTCTTGCGAATGTCATTGCAGTCTTTACAGTGGTAAACTGTTTGCAGCTCATGTGTGCCCAGTTGACTGGGAACATGTTCCCTGAGTCTGCAACCCCACGTGGCGCCAGAGTCGGCCACAGCTTTTTCAAATATTTTCTTGGCGCTGCATGGCGCCTTGTCTCGCTCTGTAAGTCCAAGACTTTGAGCAATGCTCCTTGGCGGCACTCGAGCAATCTTTGGGATTGGTCGGGGTTGGAGGAGATATGTGGAGCACGCCCATCGCCGGCAAGGTGTGTGTTGCTTTGCATCAAGGTTCCCTGCTTAGCTTTGCGGGCCCTTTTGGCGGTGCTTGTCAAGCCAGAGGCCCTTCTTCTGATTCAGATGCCATGCCCTCTTGCGCCCATCGGCCTATTCCAAGGAGCTGTCCGATAACATTTTCTCTTGGTCTTGTGTGGACAAAACCCACATCTGCCTTCTGCAATGATCGAAGAACGTCATTTTTAGATCCTAGATTTGAGGTCTGAGGTTGAGCGTTAACTAAGTGCTTGTCCCCAAGTTGGCAGCGACTTCGTGGCTCAGGTTTCCGTTCAGACAAACTTTCCGAAACCTGGATCCTGAAGGGACTCTGGCAGCTAGTGCCGCTAAGCATCCGCCTTGCAAAATGCAAAGAGCGTTCCTGTTCGGTGCGGTTTTGAAGGGAGTCACAGGGCAAATATTCAAGGCAACCCCATTCAATCCATTTCTGGGTTGTTATTCTCCGACATGCTCAGGGTTGATGCGATCTGACTTGTGAGCAAGCACGGGGACATGTTGAAATTGAACGTTTCCTGAGATCAAGAGAGCATCCGACTCTAGATCTAGGGAGCACTCTGCCAAGGATCAAGCTTCGACCTTTGATGGAGGTGCCGCGTGTGGTCCATCGTCGCGAGCCCCAGTGTTTGGCGCTCAAATTCCTTCGTGGATTCTCCCAGGTTCTTTGAGACCTCCAACAGTCACAGTGGATCCACCGGTAAGCTGCAGCGGTTGAAGCGGAAATGCCGTTTTAAGAAGTTGACAGCAGTAGGCTACATATGCCATAGACTTGATCCAGGATCTTGGAGGCTCCGGTGAGCCATGCTTGGAGCTCATCATCCTGTTGTTTTGCAAATAGCAGAGAGGTGGCACATAGGTTGCACAGAGGCGTGTTCCAAATCACGCCAGCTTGACCTGCATTGACGACTGTCCAGTATATCAGCAAGGAGCTATGATCATGAATGCCCGTTTAACTGTTTCTAGCAGGGCTTACGAAAGGATGGTACCGAGTTGAAAGCATCCTGGCCCAAACAGAGAATGTCCTGGGAAACACAGGTTAATCCAACATGCACATGCTTGTATGCTTAACAAGTTTGCTTCTTAACGCATCCCTTCCACCCGTATCAACGTTGCAATTATGTTGTCAAGCCTTCCTTCCATGAACTGCGTACGTGGATGTTTTTAATTCCGTGGCATTGCCTGGTTCTATGATTTACTACAGCAATCCATTGCGCACTTTGAGATCCCGGAGCAATGGTTTGAACTTGTAGCCCAACTAGTTGCAAGTCACTCAGCCGCATATTACGCGTGTCAGTGTCCTGGCAGCGAACCTTGGAAGCAAACAAATCAAAGGTCAATACAATCCAATGTTGTTTTTTCCGTGTCGTTTGGAGGGAATGGGTTGAATCGCCTCGAATGAATTGGCTCAGGCAAAGGGAGCCCAGAGCGGCCCTGCACCGGATCTACGGAATCCTCCAGGAATGCTGAGCGCATGTGTTGCTGATACGTTCCGGTTGACCCCAACGTTGTAAACCCAAAGGCCCTTAACGCGATGGGTGCATGAAGGCTGGTTTTGCGGTGTCAAAGGGGCCACTCAAATCCGCTGACGTGCTTGCAATGTCCAGCAAACAACAGAAACAACAGGGTAGTCCAGTTTGTGGCACCGACAAAAACTGTTGGTGGGCCATTCCCTTGAAACCTGTTCTTTCCATGAATTCAATGTTCAATTGGGCCCTGTTTTGCCAAACTCCAACCTGCTTGTTTCACCGCTTTGTATGTTTTCATATTTTGGTCCAAGGCTGAAACGTAGGGTCCTCATTTAGTACGGGACCTTTGGAGGCTTCAGAGTTGCGCTCGCCCACATGAGCCGCGGTTGGGGGTGAGGTCCCAAGTTACTCTAAGAGGTTGATGACATTGGAACCACCTGTTGAAGAGGCTCCTTGTCTAATTTTGATGACACGTTCATTCGTTTTTACCAGGACCAAAGTTGTATCTTGTTGAGCTGACACAGCACAAAAAGGGACCCTTTGCATAGCTGGCCTTTGTTGGAACGCGAGTCTTCTGGATCTCTTGCAACTTATGGGAGTTCCTTTGAACCTTGACTTGGGGAGGCAAGTCCCACTGAATTTGCACTCCGGCATGCCTTCCCCCAAAACTGTTACTTTGACGCTGTAAATTGACCACGCCACGCCTGACAAACGCCGGCCAGCAACACTTTGTTTTTCTCTCTCACGTACAGGAACATATTGTGGCCCGCTTCGATTTAGATGAAGCTGTTGGAACACCCACATTCAAACACTCATGAATGCAAAGGCTTGTCTCCGTCTTGTCGCCGATGTGTGAACTTCACACAAACATTTGTTTCATTGGCATAGCTGCAGCAAAGACCATCTATAAACACGAACACAATATTTCAAATAGATACAGCATGCTGAGCAGATATGGCATGCTTACTCGATTGGCATAGTCCGAATTCCGGCCGCTTGCCTTTTTTTTGAGTGTTGGCTTGCTGAGGGCCTGAAGGTTTGATTCACGCAGGCTACCATCACCCAAGAGCCCACCGACCAGAGGCACGGCACATGGCTTTCAGAAGGCACCGTCTCATCAGCGCAGATCTACCTAACGATTTGGTTGCAGAAACTTGTTCCAAGCTGTTGGCGATGCCCCAAAACAGTCAACTGAAAGCCGTCCAATTTGATGACCAAATCCTTTACTCACCAGTCAAATATCTTTACCTATTTGTAAAATTATAATATATTTTGTAGGCAATAACATGATGACCAGTCGTGTCCTTGCTGAGCAGAGGCCCCCGCCTTGCAATCACCTTGGGGCCTTAAATGCTGCGACCCATAAGGTTGACGAAGACACGACGTGATCAAAAGGCCAAGGAGTTTTGAGCACTGCGCTCTTGACCGGCATCAGTTGCCCTCAAGTGATTGCACAGTCGACCATCGGTCGCCAGATATCCCAAGCAGGTTTCTTTGCCGGAGTAGTACGATTCCACTGATGGTCACAGTCTGGATCAGAGATTTGTAAGCAGGATGTGACTCAGTGTTTTTGGGGCCGTTCGTGTTGGCCAATGCCACCATATTATATATATAAGCCGCACAGCTTGGGCTGGTTCGCTGCCAGGCCCGTATATCGGTGTCGAGATTCATGAAAAGAGTGGCCTCAGACTTAGCTGAAAGAGAGGAGGGTGACATGTTGCTCGTTCAGCAGAGTGCAATGAATGCAGAAGTAGGGCATTATATTGGCGGATGATGGTCAGTGCCATGTTGTTCAAAAGATTACAACAATGAGCTGCTAGTTGGATATTGTAGCTGCATTCTACTGGGCAACTATCAAGTTGGTCGGTAGTTTGGGAGGACCCGGGGAGGTGGCCAACCTGATTCCTGGTTGCAAACCAGTCCTGAGAAAGGGGTCAAATCCAGTATTGCCCTTGGCTCATTTCGCTCGTGAAGGTGATTTCAGGAATTTTTTGGCGGCTTCCATGCCAGTCTGCTCGGCAAACGGCGCACCGGTTTCTCTGAGGCTGCAACCCCATGAGCCCACGGAAGCCATGGGTCGTGACCTGCCCGCGGGACCGGGAGGGTGTGATGGCGCTGGATTCTGTCCGTGAGATGTCAGGGGTTCCCCTCAAAATCAATGCATTTGATGTCCTCTTGTTCTCTTGTTCCCTGGGCAAGTATGATTTCGAGTGATGCAGTTAAGATTGGGCAGGTTCCTCTTGAACTCAAGCAATTGACCAGTGTTCTTGGTGTCGAAGCAGGGAATAGCTGATCGGCTTTTTCTGGTGAGA